AATACAGTAGGGAACCGATTATCCGGAACGATCGGGACCATCGCTATTCCGGATAACTGAGTTTTCCGGTTTTCTGAATCTCTACAAAAAGCAGTTTTTTTTATTGTTAAACCCAACTAAAAAAAAAATTATTCGGAAATAATCTTAAAAAGAAGAAAAAACAATGAAGTAATACACTAATGATTATTTCCAAAATGTTGGTAAGGTAAACATCTTTCAAGAAAGAGAGAAAAATCCTAAAATCTTATGAGGAAAAAAACATTTAAAAAAAAAATGGCGGGAAAATTTATCGAATTTCGTTCAGGTTTTTTGGTTTTCTGATTTCCGGATAACGGGTTCTGTACTGTATTAAGCAAATAAATGTGGACAAACTAAGTAGACTATTTAAAAATGTTGTATTTAAAAAACAATAATCAAAAGTAAGAGAACAATCAAAGTTATAATTTGAAAATGATCAAATTTTAGAAAAAGACCCATCTTCTCTCCTTCAACCTTTCAATAATAAATAAATTTGGACAAACTAAATAGACTATTTAAAAATGTTGTATTTAAAAAATAATAATCAAAAGAAAGATAACAAACAAAGTTATAAATTGAAAAAGATTAAGTTTTAGAAAAATACCATCCTGTCACCTTCAACCTGTCAAGTATTAAGCAAATAAATTTGGACAAACTAAGTAGACTAAAAGGTAAAACGTAAACTGGATAAAAAATGGGAATTAAAATATACTCAAAAATGTACATATTATTAAAATAAACAAATTATTTTTACCTCATACTTAGTATGGAAAAAAATGCCAGTAGTTCCTTTTTAGATACCCTCTATTTGTTATACAACAAGTATAAGTTAAATTCAAGGAAAAATATGTTGTTCTTCCAGTAGCATTAAAAATATTTTTTATTTTTATTTTACAAAACTTTTTACACTGAAAGTTTAAGTTTTAAAATAATAACAAAAGTTTGAGATTAAGAAATTAGTATATGTGAAATGCTTATTTTTAAAAACTATACATTTGAATATTTAGTACATTTGATTATATTCTATACAGCTTGAAGTCTTTCAAAAATAACTGAATTTATAATATTTAGTTAAGATTTGATAACTTGAACTATTTTAAAATAACATTTAACATTAAAATCTGAATCAATATGAGAAAATTTTTACACATTACAATCTAAAAAATTTCTCTTATTATCGATAATTTTTCTTAAAAACTTTAGATAAAGGTTTAAAAAAATTCTAAAGTCATATTTTTTTACAAATTTTAAATATACAATAAAAATCTTAGAAATGAATAAATAAAGTACATAAAAAGTTCGCTATTTTCCTCAAATCTAATCAGACATTAATATAAAAAGTAATGGCATGAAATATTTTACTCACTTCATTAAGTAAGTTCTCTCCTTGGGGGTCAACCTTAGACAATTCTCGGAAAGCCTCATCACCCACGAAACAAATTTCATGTCCATCCTTAAAAACAATAAACAAATAAATTAGTAGTTAATTTTGTTTAGTAAAAAAATATTATTATTAAAATTAATTAAATCCTCTCCTATTTACAACTTTTATGCTTCGTTCCATACAAATGATCTAGATTTCATAGCTTTAATATAATTTAAATTTACACCAAAGCATTAAATGCAAACATTTAAAAACACAATGAATAGTTAAAAAGACTGTTCTTTTCCATTTTATATTAATGTATTCATATTGTAATCTATGTTTACAGAGATAATAAACAAAATGTAACAATTTTATGCCATTTTAGGAAGGTAATTATTTGTTTTATATTAATAACTCAGCCTTTTGTATATATATTTTAATAAGTCGATCAAGAAATAAAATACTTATGACTAACAATATTATTTTATTAAAATTTGTAGTTTAATTTAAACATACTCATCTGCCTTTTTCTTAAGAGGTAAAAAAGATAGAAAAATTTTCTAACAATACTTTATTTTAGAGTAATTAAATAACTATAAATTGAGTAGTATTTTAAATTAGCAAAAGTCATTAGGGTATTTGGGTTCTGGGAGCAGTAATTATCTAAAAATGGTAAACTACTTCATGTGAGAAAAAATAGGATTAAATAAATTTACTAAGAAAAAGTTTTAATAAGAAATTGAACAACTGTACATTATTTTCAACAAAAATTAGTGTATCCGGTTTATTACATAATATATATATTTGACAGTTGATAAACTTTTCATTTCTTTTGTTTTCACAAAATGCATTGAAACTTCATGTAACATAAAATAAATTTTAAACAAGAAATTGAAAACAAGATCAGATGAAATTGCAACAGGAAACTAAACACTCAACACTTTTTATGGTATACAGAAGGAAAAAAAATCAAAGGTTATTCTGTTTCAAGATAACATTGTTTTTTCTTTTTGTTGTTGCTTTTTTTCCTAAGAGGCTGCATAGCAAAGGTTGTATGAGTAATGAAAGGACATAGAAAATTGTAAATTAAAAATTCTTTAAAAAAATCAAATTTGTTACAAGAGTATTCGTAAAAGAAAAAAGACAAATTTTGAATCATGAATTGCTTACAGGGTCAGCCAAAATCACAACAGAAACTGTAGCTTTTCCAGGAGTATCCAAGCTTACTAAAGGAGTTATAATTTTATGTCCTGCCTTTTGTATTGTTTCTTGTATTTTAGATAACTGAAAAAGAAAGAAAAAAATTGCAATAACAATTTAGTTTTCAATTTTTTCTAAAGATTATGATATAAAATACAAAAAAATTAATAGGTTTTTCGACTAAGAAAAACACACATACGCAAATAAATACAAAAAAAAAGAGCAAATTATTCTGAGTTCTTCAAGAAGTTCCAAAATACTAATCTATATATATTTCTCTTATATGGCACCTATCTAGTGGCATTACCATAGTTGTTATTCATTTGACAGGTTATCTTAAGTAACAATTTAAATAATGTTAAAAATTAGTTATACATTATTTATTTAGTATTTTGTTGGATTGTCTTAATAATGTTGATTACTTAATTACATGTTAAGTACAGTAAAACCTCTCGGGAGCAACCACTCTCTGTTTCATAGTATAATGGTTGTTAATGGAGGTTGATCATTCTTAGAGGTTACCTCCATTGACTTTAAAATGTTATCGAAGTTATGTGATTTTTCACAAACAATTTTTATTTTAGTCAGTGTCATTTTCCAGGTGCGCAAATGCCACAAGTGTTGGCATTATGAAAACTGGATAGCTGAATAAAATATAGCTGTTGATATAATTGTGCATAAAAACAAATTTACCAATTATGAATGATAGAGCTGTTTTAAATAAATAAACAAACAATTATGTTTTTTGCTTAAGTTTCCATTTAGTTTTAAAATATAGTTAGTTTTAAAAGATGAGAAGAGGTTTGTTTGTTTGAGATGCTTAGTTTTTTTCTAAAATAATTTTTCTTTTTCTAATTTAGCTTTCAACTCCAAAAATAATTCTTTGATAGCATCATCTTTAGTCCACTCTGACTGCAACAAGAGGTTGTAGGTCTCTTTTAGAGATCTTCAAAAAGAGCTCTCTAAATAAGCTCACACAAATATTTTGAATACATTTTAATCTACTTATTTATTTTGTTAATTTTTTCTGTTGCGATTTTTTCGTGTTTCCTTATTTGACCTTCTTCGCATTTGGTGAAGAAGTTTGCCCGGTCTATGGAAAAAATTCCATGCATCCCATAAGTGGTCGTAAATAGAGGAGGTCACTACATAAAGATGGCCTTTCCTGGAGGTTTCACTGCATTTATTAATTTGGAATAATTTTGTAAATATATTTTTATTAGTTACGAAATTATTATTTAGATTTATTATTGATCCTTATTTAAATAACAAGAATTTTTAAACATGGACGGTGCTATAGTGCCACATACAGTAAAACCAATTATTGGTGACAGAGTTTGCTTCTTTCGAGCAATAGAATATATACATAAATATGACATAAGCATGTGACATATGATATATGATAGTGGGCCCAACTCAAAAATTCTGAAAATTTCTTGAGTAAAATCATTCAAAGAATTAATATCTTAATAAATTTAAATCACTGAAATTTTCAAAACAAGATATTCCAAATGAATTATATGCAGCATAATTTAAATGAATAATTATGTGTAAGTTCACTTTTATCTCTAATCACATTTATTATTCTACCAGAAAAAATATTTACAAATGAGATGCCAAGTAAAAATTCTGGTTCTAATATTTTTAAATAAAATATACAAGAATTTTTATATATATATGTGATCAATGATTCTTTAAAACTTCTGGACTTTGGATTTCCGGAAACTTTCGTATTGTGGTTAGCGAAATATCCAGAAATCCGGATTTTTTCCGGAGCACAATCACACATGCATAAGATATTCAATTTATGGCTTGTTCAATTTATGGCTCGAGAGGTACATGAGGAAGTAGTTCAGCACATAATGGAGCACTAAGAAGATATTTCGATCTTATCCATATATTTAACAATGAGAGGGTACCTACTGCAATACAATATTCTTTTTTAGGTTCAAAAGTGACCCTCAATTCTTTTTACAGCTTTTAATTGTGAATCTGAGAATTCTAAAGATGTAACTGCTTGGATTGCTGATATGTCAACTAGCACGACAACATTTTCAAATAACTTGTTGACTCTAACTTAAGAAATGAGAAAGAAAAAGTGAAATTTGACAAATTGAAAAGAAATGCCATTTTTTGCAGACATAACTCATGACGATTAAGGTTAGAGAACTAAGAAGAAAAAAATCTATAAAAAAGAAATTAGAGTCTAGAACAAACAAACCACTAATTTCTTGGCTGTCCACTATGAGGACATAAATAACATTAGTTAATAAGATGTTCAGTTGGAACCACTGAAAAAAATACACTGCAATTGACTGTTCATTGGTGGAGCTCAACTGTAGCAGAAATGTCATAATTATGACAGAAAATTTTATTCAGAGACAGTGATAAAAGACAGTTTTATCTGATATACTTATACATTTGTGCAGTTATTTAATAGTAGTGTACATTTTCACAAAAAGGCAAAAAATTTATGTGTCCTAGCAAATTTTGTTTTAAATATTAAAAAATGCTATAAAGTTTGATGAAATCAATGAAAAATATTTTTTAATTCTCAAGTGGTTTAACATTCTTTATTCCTTATTTATAAAAATATATTTCGTAAATAAGAACAGGCTGCCTAGCCAGATTTTTCAACAAAAAATAAGCACTCAAATATATCTTTAATCACTATCTAAAAAAAAATAAGTCATAATTAGGATCCGTGCAGCAGTAATAATTATTTTTGTCTATCGTTTAAAGTTCTTGATTTATAAACATAAAATCAAAAAAATTCGAAAACATTTTCAATAATTTAACATAATCATAATAAAATGTTTCTGATAAATATTGCAGAGAAAATAGTGAAAAATCATGTTTTTTTTATAGATTTTTTCAAGTTAATAAAATCAATGAAAATTATTGTTTAATTCTGAAGTGATTTAACATGCATTATTCCTTATTTATGAAAATATGTTTAGTAAATATGAATATAAAAGTCAATTTATAAAATAGAATTTAAAGTACTTTTTTGCAAACAATTAAAAAATCTCTAAAAATTACAAAACATATTTTGTAAAATTTTAGATTTTGTGCTACTCAAGCTAACTTCTGTAATACCTCAGAAACAATTAAAAATAAAATAAAAAACAATGTTGCCAAGAATAAAAATAAGGAGAGTAAAATTATATATAAAAAAAATTTCAATGAGCAAAAGTTTAAAAGAATTATTGGCACAATTTGAAGTAGATCATCAGTGAGATAAATAAATTTTATATATATCTTAAATATTTAAATTTAACAACAAATCTCTAATAATAATCTTAATCTTAATAGTGCAAACAGATAATGAAACTCACACCCACCAACTCATTCATTATTATTATTATTATTTGTAAATTATACATTTTAGAAGCAGAAAAATATTAAGATAAAATTTGTGACTACCTTTTATAACAGGAAACAAAATTATACAAATAGAATGGAACACTAAAACACAAATTCTACTAAAAAACAGAAGGAAAAAATCAATGCACATTATAGTTATAAAAACTCATTAATTACATTAAAAAATAGTTTTAAATTGCACTAAAAGTTGAAAATTAAATAGAAGACACATTTAATACTACCTCATTAGTTGGACAAGCGAAAGCAATTCTACCAAAAGCTTGTTCATGGCTGACAGGTTCATTTATTTCTACAAGTTCAAGTTTGCACTGCAATGAAACTATATGTTATTGTACAAATATCAAAATTTTGTTGAATTTGTCATATTTTCATGAAACAGTTATATTTAACCACAGTCAAATATATACCACAATCAAATTTTTAAAAGATTGTAGTACTTCTGATTGTAAACAATAAGCACATTTTATTATGTGTAAAAAATATTCCAAGCTCGGTTTCTTCTAGAATAGCTGAAATTTTTTTAATTGCTGGTTAATAGCAATTTTTTAACATCCCACAATGGATGAACTTTGCCTACAAATCATAATTCAATAATTTTTACCACAACAAAAATTATTAATATTTTAAAAATTGCAATTAGCAAAAATATCGCATTAATGAAAATCTGCACAAACTTTTCATTCAAATAGTGGTTTTCAAAACAAATTAACATAAACTTAAGGGAAAATCATAGTAACTGGTACAAATTGGATTAAATAATACATTTGAGACTACTAACTCAAAACAATTTCAATTATTTAAAATAAATTATTCATCACAGAAAGATTAACTGGTAAATTTTATAACAATTTTCCGCTTTAACCATTTTTTATATTAGGACACCTAATTTTTTTTCGCCCTGAAAAGTAATAAAATTATCATGGAAATTTAAAATACATTCCAAATTGTAGCTTATGTATACTCAAGTTCCATTTGGAAAATATTTTATAGTTTTATAAATATCAGTCTTTTAATATATAAGTTGAAAACTTATATTATTACTTTTTAGAAATATAAACCAAGAGTTTGAAAATAAAAGAATAAAAAATACTTGTTCAGAAGAATAACCCATTAATACTGTCTTATCTTCCTGGTTGAAAATTTTCATGCCTAGCAAGCCATTCCAATATTCTATTTGAAAAAATAAATAAAACAAAATGAAAATAAGGAAAGAATGAATAGTATATTTAGAAGAACAAAAAGTCAATTAACGATAACTCACATCTGAGGGGACCAAAGAAAAACTATAAATTATTGAAAGTTCAACTTACAGCTGGTTTGCATTTTCTTGTTTTTTAGCATATAATAAATTTGGATATTATGACTATTGCATAGATCATTTGTTTAAAAAAAATTGTAAACAGCAGAATAAAGAAATTTTAAGAAAAATCAACAAGATTATAAAATTTACAACTTTACTGTCAATTGAATTTCACATCTTTGCTAAATAATCCGACAATTTTCGTTAAATTAGGCATTTTTGAAACTTTGTAAGCAACAACAATAAAATACCCTTTTGTCTCTGTAAACAATAAAATACAAATATCTTGTAGGTGCAAAAATACAGAAGCATAAATGTTTCTTCTACACTCTATGAATCTTTACAGAACTTCAAATGATCACTCAAATCTGAGGGGAAAGAAAAACTATAACTTATTGAAAGTTCAACTTAGCTTTAGTTTTCATTTTTTTGTCTCTTAATATATAATAAATTTGGATATTATAATTAATGTATAGAGCATTTACTTAAATTTTTTTTGTTAACTACAGAATAAAGGAAGTTTAAGAAAAATAAATAAGATTTTAAAATTTACAACCTTACTTTTGACTGAATTTCCTATTTTTGTAAAGTAATCCGATATTCTTCATTAAATACAATAACAACAACAAAGTATAACTTTTGAATCTACATTTGAGTTTGATAGCACTAACATTTTAAGAGCTGTATAACATGTACTAACTTAAAAAAACATTAATTTCAAACAATGTCAATATCTTTGCCTTTACGTCTTTTTGTTTTGAAATTCTTTTGTTCTATAATCTTCTTTTTCAGATAATCTCCAAGTGCCGTAACCTTCTTTAATAGCTCTGACTCTTCCTAATCATCACACACCGAAATATTATTGTTCCCAGTAACTACTCCATAATTAAATTATAAGTTCTTTTGTTTTTTATGAACAGATATTATTTATCTATTCATACATCTTGTATGTCTACTTCTCCATAAATGGATTTTTAGGCAATATCTTTTCAAGCATAAAAAATCTTTTTTTTAGAATCTCGAGCGATTTATAAAAAAAACTTTAACAACATTTTGGGAATTGGAATACAAAAAAGAGGATTTTAAATTTTCAGCAGTTGCAAAAAAATTTTTTTGGCAATTAAATATATTTTAAGAAATTGAAGCTGACATAGAAATATACTTAGCAAAAAAAAAGGTGTCTGTTTGTACAAAAAATATTGCAAATAGACAGGGAATTCAAACTATTTTATGATATTGAAAAATTTGTGTTATCAAAGTTCATATTATTAAAGTTTGGCTCTGCAAGATTAATTTAAATATACTAAAAACATTAATAGTTTTTCTTTTAATGAGAAAAAAATTAGTAACTAATAAAGGCACAATTTATGTTTATCTACTTACCAACAGAACATTTAAGATTAGAACAGGATAAAGTAACCTTTTGGACAGGGTCTGAAACAAAATAAAAATCAACTGCAATAAATATTTAAGCCAACTATTTTTCTTACAAAAATGTTAAAATAAAAAGAGAATTATGATAATAATAAGTAGACATTTTCAACAATTTATAAAATAACTAATCAAAATCACTAATCAAAACAACTACAGGTGACACTACTTGCCATTTATAGTTTAAGCAATGTTAAAATATGGTGCCTTTTATGTTTTCAAAAAGTTTACAGAATTATTTTGCATGTTAAAAAAACTAGGACTGCTCAAAAAACAAGAACTAGTTTTTAATCATTCTATAATCAGTTTTTCTAATTTCTTTGACTAAAGTAATAATGCAAATAATTTTCAATTTCTTTCATTAAAATTAGATCCACCTCTGACAGATTGGATCCCTTGGATTTCTTAACACTAACCCTCAGTGCAGCTATCTACATAAAAATAATACAATATTACGTACTCAAAATGCTACTTTTGTTAATGTCAGACATATCTATGTAAAACTATGTCTGACAAATGCAAAAAACGTAAAAAATAAAATAACAAAAGAAAAATCTTGGGGAGCAATGAATAAGATTGAAAAACCCATACTTATTTAAGATGATTAAATCCCTGTAAAATGCGTGTGTGGGGGGGAACAGATTACTTGGATTAATTTTTTATCTAATGATCGGATCTTCACTTTCTAGAACTCAATCTTAATGGTTAGAGGGGGTGACATCAAATATGCTAATTAATTAGCGCAGATAATATTTTAAGGTAACCTACTAAATCAGATAATAAACACAGACGAGTAGTAGTGAAATAGCCTGTTATAAGTAGAGAAATTACTGTAGTTGCTACTTCTTTTCATAGTTTGTAGTGTAAATCACAACAAAAGTAGTGTAGTAATCAGTGCGTTGCAGTTAAGCAGTAGTTTGCAGCGATTCTTTGCAATTATTTTTAACGTAAATTAAGTAAAGAAACATGGTTCAAACACAACTAATTTTTCTAACCTGCTTGGTGCAAATCTTAAGCCAATAGATTTGATGCGACAGTCTCTATGACTGAATGTTAACAAGAATTATGACTTACGGTCAAGAGCAGCAACTTTTTCCCTTTTTTTCATAAAGGTTGGCAGCAGTTGTTTCATTGTTTTTTGGAAATCTTGTTGTCAAAATCATATGCGTAATTAAATGTCTGAATAATTGTTTTTGTTTTCATAAATCTGGAACAGGACAGCAAATTTAAAGGTCTATGATTGTGTCCAAACTGACCTGGTATAATACTTATTTCAGTTTAATCGAAAAGTATAGAAATAATTTAGTCGTATGTAAACCTTGCTGCTAAACAAAAAGTTATTGGCTTCAAAATTATTTGCCACTAATTTGAATTGCCATACCTTTAAATGTGAATGTTTTCTCGTGAAGACTTAAAGAATTTGTACATGTTATTCATTTGAAGGAAACATATTTTAATCAGTAATTTTTGAAGTACTTTATTCCATTAAGTAAATAAAAGAGCATTAAACACTTAACAAAATCACAAATATTTAAAAATTTCCTTGCATTTTTAAAATGAAATCTTCTGCTGAGAAAGGTATAAAAAGTTGGAGGTTAAAAAAATCAATTCACAAGAAAAATTTTTTGAATAACCTATACAAAAAATCAACAGCAGGGAACAAGAAAACACGCGCTAGACAAATAGGGAGAGAGTAGACCTGATCAATAACCCGAAAGTTTTGCACAAGGAGAGAGTACAATACCCCCTGCTGTAGAAACCACCATCCATTAAATCAGTAAAAAGCATTTCTCACCTGAGAAAAATTGGTATTTTAATAGCAAGTGCTAAATAAATACCTGATTTAGAAGAAGGTTTGTCATCAACAAAAAATTTATAGCCTCCAGGTGCTTCAACATAGTTTAACTCATTTCCTTGACTTATTTTCCAGCTTAGATTCTTGGCATTGGCCAATATATCTTTTGAATTTATTGTTATTCCCTAAAAGAAAAAAAAATACTTTTAAATTACAACATGCCAGTCAAAAGTGTTTTACTTTTTTACTTTGTTACCTTTTTACTTTACAGTGTTTTACTTTTTAATGTATAATAAATTTGGATATAATAATCATAAACCACAGAACAAAAACAGTTTAAAAAACATAAACAAAATTATACAATTCACAACTTTTTTTTAAATCGAATTTCACATTTTGATAAAGTAATTAGACTTTTCGTTGAATTAAGCACTTTTGAGTCCCTGTAAACAACAACAAATCATTTTTTTTTAATGTGCAAAAATATAAAAGCATCTATATTATCTCTGTTCTTTAAGTCTTTGGGGAACTTTTGAAGCCCAGCTTCTGATACATTTGGAACTATCACTTTCATCAATTTTTTCTGTGATTGATTGTATAAATTCTTCATCTGGAATTTCACTACAAAAAGCAATATTTTCAAAGTTTGAAAAATCTACTATTTCACATTCTGCCTCATTAAGTTCATTTAGTGTCACAGGCAAGGATCTCGCTCATTGTTGATTTTTTTAAAGAATCCATACTTACAGAAATTTTTTTTTCCACTGTCATCTCACTAGTATTATTACTTCAAGCACTGGAAATCAACTTCATGACTACAAACACATCAATTTAAACTGGGACTCAGTTTTCAATAACGTTTATTTTCCGGACTAATCATTCATAATAAAACAGTTTAAGATGCCTTTATAAGACTGTTAAGACAGACTTTATGATACCTTGATCCATAGACTGTAATCTCGCTGATGTCATTGTTGGCAGAAATTGCAAATTTATAGTTTTCAAATCATGTAGATAACTATGTACAGTACATTTATCCACAAAAATTATTACTTTTTGTTTTTTAACATGAAATAAACTAATTTCCTCATAAAATCTTTAAAAAAAAATTGTTGCCATCAAAGTTTTTTGTTACATTCAGACTACAAAGGAAAAGCTTTCACATTTTAATAATGGCGATTTCGATTCTTACCAATGACAAGAATTGAATCTGACTAAGACTATTTTCTCATTTTAATTCTGCAGCGATTTTCATCTTTGAACATCATTGCCTTATTAGGAAGACATTTGAAAAAGAAACATTTCATCAATATTGAAAACATCATGTTCACGGCAAAATTCAATTCAATTTTGGCTTCAACATGTTTGACAACTTAGCGAATGATTTTAGGCTGCAAATGATAAATGAAAAGGAATGAATATCTCATCAATGAAGACAAAAGGACTTTTCAAACAATATAGTAAAAATCTAGCATCAATGAGTTTAAATGTTGTTCTCAGATGTTAAGAGAAATATATTTATTTGATTAACCAAGGCACTGCACCTATACAGACAATGCTTATAAAACAACATTCAGAGACTTAGCAGATGTTGTTTAAGACATGCTGCATGAAGTGTGAGGAACTTCAAAAGAAGGAGCTGGGAAATATTTCACTTCGTTGGTAGTCGGAAAAGGTATTAGTATTCTTTTAGCTTTAAAGAACAATATGCTTTGAAAGAATGAATGATAAGAAACGATGTTCTCCCGAAGAGTTTTTTTAAGGGCGGCTTGCCCTTTGAAGTGCATCCTCTTCGCATTTTTTGTAAAAATAAGCAGCCATCCCTTAAAAAAACATAACCCTTTTATTCATATCCCATTTTGAAAAAAAATTAATTTTCAGTTTAAATAATAATTACACGCTGGTAAAATTATCTGTGTTTAATTCTGATTGTTAGAATTACTCTCATATGGTTAAATTTCTGTATTTTTTTTCTCTTTTTTTTTGTAGGGGGATATTAATAAATTTTTAAGTGATTTTTAAATTTTAAAACTAATTTTGTTAAATATTTTTAAAAAAAAACTTTAAATGTTTATTTTCTTAATATTTTCAGTTAAAATTGTAGTTATCCATCAATTAATAACTTTTTGTTATTTTTCGTGCAAAAAAAAAAATTAATATTCACAGAGATTGCTTTTTAACATGCCTTTAATTAGTTTTATGAACAACAAATTTTTCTTTTATTTTGAAAATAAGAAAGAATTACTTTTTTGGAAAAATACACAAAAAATATTACATTATATTATACGAGGGTAATTAAAAAATTGTTAATGATAAATTCAATTATTACTTAATATTGCACATTTTGATAAATTTTTAGAGTTTAGACTTTTCAAAACGCAAAGTGCCGTTTTACCCTAGGGAGAACTCTGTAAGAAGTAAATATCGAGTAATTGAGGAAAATTAACATTGAATAAAAAATAAAGAGGTTGGAACGCAAAAAATTTGAGTTAAAGGAATGTTATTGTACTTTGAATTATCACGAATTGACTGCAAATCGACTATACAGCAAAGCTGAGCAAAATTGAAGCTAAAATTTCCCATCTCCACTCTGCTTTTTATTGAATTACTAAAAGGGAAAAAAGCGTAAGTTACCAACATAATTTATAACAATAAAAAATATTTATGTCTGAAGTGAAAAATATTATATCCAAAACTTACACAGAAATCATTTCCTAGCTTATATGATTTGACTCCATAATTGTAAGTTAGTTCTATAACAAAATGATTATCTTCAGGGCCATATCCAATCATAGTTTTGCTCCATTTTCCATCATATGGCCTATAAAAACAAAACAAAAATATAAAAAAGTACCCATAAAATTTTGATATTTCCAAATTGGTACCTCTTCCGACAACTGAAATAGCTAAGGTGCGAAATTAAATAGACCTGTTTTTTAACTTAAAGTGAATTAATGTTAAATCTATATAACTTTGCCCAGAAATGGATAAGAGACTCATCTTTTAAATTAACCCTCTTTAGTGATACCTTTTTTTTGTTTTTGCAAATTACTTCTTTGAAGTTTTCAAAACTTAGTGATTATTTTGACATAGGTAGGACTGGATTATTTTGACATAGGAAGTCGCTGTATCGGCAGGCCGATACAGCGACTTTCGTTCCAGGCGATGCATCAGAAATCTGATTTAAGTCGTCGAATAAAGAAGACGAACGATATAGCGATATACAATATAGCGATACAAGACACGCAAGGACGCTCCAATGCCAACTCGCGCTGGGGAAGACGATGTTCGTATTGTTATATTGAAATGGCCTTGATTGATGAGTCGTAGAATCAGAATCAGTTTTGAGAACATATATCGTGATCTGGCATGTTCGCTTCCGCACCGATTAGTTTTTTTCCTTCTTTGTCGCGACTTGATATCGTTTCTTGTAGATTATTTTAAATGGGACTGACTTTTTGTGATCGCCGTCGTTACCTTGTTCTGAACGTAATCTATTATTGAAAAGAATATATAAAGAAGTGTTTCTTAATTAATTAGGTATATTTTTTTTTTAAAAAAACTTTCTCTTTTATTTTTAAATGTGAAAATTAATTTTGATATTATATGTTTAAGTATTATTTTACATGATTGAATTTATTACAAACGGAAATCATTTAGCACTTTGTTTTATTGAAGAGTATAATCGTTTTTTAATTTTCTTTCAATATTGTCAGTTGAATATATTAATGAATATCATAATTCTTTTGTTTTTATTTTTAAGAGATTAAACCTTACTTTGTTTTTTTCGTTCAGAATTCGGTAATTATTCAATTTAACTTTATTATTTATGTGAAATAATAATGATAAAAAATAGTGTNTTAAATTAACCCTCTTTAGTGATGTCTTTTTTTTGTTGTTGCAAATTACTTCTTTGAAGTTTTCAAAACTTAGTGATTATTTTGACATAGGTAACAATACAGACGTTTTCCACACAAAATGATGGTCTAGAATAATTGTAGTCGAATCAGATGCCTGGATATTACAAATAAACTGCAACTAAATATACTTTCGTTTCAGTCAAAATGTCAATGATGTAAATGAAATGAGGACAGGCAAGACGGGCGATCGCCCGGAGCACTGGATTACAGTGGTGCCGAATGAAACCTAAGTTTTATATTCCCTAAATTATTCATTTCCTTTCTTTAAAAATACATATTTCTGCCACAGTGGCTCGGGGAATTGAGCGCTCGCCTCCCAACGTGGTGACCCAGGCACAAACCCCACAGTTGGCTGGTCAATATGAATTCTGCTCCAGGCTCGCACCGAACACAATGCTGAAATAAATATCCTCAGTGGTGGACAGATCATGGGTTAAAATCCCATGTCATTGGACCAACTATGGGAAATTCTTGTGGCTTTCCTCCTCATGTAACACAAATAGGAGATAGCTCCATTAAAAAGTTCCCCACAAAAGTTAATCCACCAAAGCTTGATCTAGGAGTTTTCTTGTCTTCTGGATTGTGTTCATAATTACTAGGCTACAGATATGAATATTGATAGTCGTAAACTCAGAATTTGGTTGGGTGTTTAATGTCGATTATAAAATAAATTGTTTGAAAAATACAGTTAAGGGTGTTTTTTTTTTTTTTAATGATATATTCTTAGGTTAGCTTTTTTTATAGTTAAAATTCTGCATGTAAAAGTATCCAGGAAAGATATCTTCTCCAGAAATTTATGGCTCAGGAAACCATTCAAGAAACAAGGGTTGAGGAGAGGAAAGTAATAGCTCAACATTTCATGCAAATATTCTTAAAGGAGTCTCCAGTATTCGCAAAAGTCAGATATTTAAAATTCGATTTTTCAGGAACTATTCAGCTGATTTAGTTCAGATTATGAAAATGATGTAAAAATGTGTACTCCTTGCAATTCAATTTTCTTCATTATTAAAAATTCATTTTATGAGGAATTATCTTTGATTCTATTGCTTGTTCAGGCATTGATTCCATTATTTTGTGCAAAAAAAGAATTCTAATTTGCTTAAAACATTCTCAAAAAATGCAATAAGTAAAATAAACATTAAGGGGTCAAAACTTTCAACCGCTCTCCTAAATAAACTATCCCAGGTTGCTGTTTTCTTGGGTAAGAAATCAGTATCCGTCGTAAAAAAATATTTTTATTCAGAGAAAATACGTTCTTGCATATGATTTTGAAACTTTAAATATCATCCAAACAAGCTAATGAATATATTTGAAGTCCGTTCCTCGAATCTTTGAATGCTCCATTACGTGATAATTAGATCAAAAGTTAGTCAAGGTGCTTAGTTTTTCCCCTCTTTTTTTTCTGAGCAATGTACACATAAACTTGTGTCTCACATGTATTTTTAATATAAAATTAATTTTACATAAATCTTAATATTCTAATAAATAAATCTTAATATTTTTGCAGAAATTAATCCCATTTAACCTCAAAATGTAATTTGAATTTAAGTTTTTCATCCAAATATCTCACTTTCAATATACCCCCTCTACTTAAGTTACTACTAGTCTACTAGTCTACTTAAGTTACAGTAAATAGATAAATGAAGTTTAAATACAGATGAATGAAGTTTAAATAGTTCATAATTCCAGGAATTTATCTGAGTTTTAAAATATACACATAGATTTTTAAGATGAAAGTATTGTGTAAATGATACATAGTTGAATGTTTAATTTTTTAGAGTAATTTTGATTGTAATTACAAAAAAAAGCATAAAGAACTTTACCATGATGGAAACAATGTGTTGATTAAAATGTTGAGGTCACATTCAAATCTTTTCGATGCAGCAAGAAAAAAAATTAAAACTTATTTTTAAATTAAAACCTTATTTGACGGATAAAGATATATTTTTTTTTACATAATTGGTTTAAAAATAATAAAATTAGGCCATAAACCATCTATTCTATATCGTTTTTTTTACGTAATTGGTTTAAAAATAATTAAATTAGGCCATAAACCATCTATTATGCCGTATTAAAATAGAAATACATAATAATTTACGCAATTAAATAAAAACATTTTAATCCTTATAGGAATTCAATATAAAACTTGATTATTCATGTTAATAATATTTTAAAATGTTACGATCAAAACAAGTAAAAAATTGGAGTGCGTGAAAAGTATTTCGAATAATCATCTTTCACAAACCTACTCTACTTCTTCCCAGAAAATTTTAACACCCCCTAGAAGTTGGGACCCTGAGCAAAACTTTTGAAGCGAAGAAAGTTTTCAATCAGATTATGCTAAATAACTATTTAAAACCTAAAAAATTTAACATAATTTCTCAACTTAACTTCAAGTAGTAAAACAATTAGTATGTCAAATCAGTATCATTGAAAAAACGTCATTTTGTTAACACCATTCGATGTTGTTAATTTACGTCGCACTAGAGCTGCACAATGGGCTATTGGCGACGGTCTGGGAAACATCCCGGAGGATGATCCGAAGACATGCCATCACAATTTTGATCCTCTGCGGAGGGGATGGCACCCCCGCTTCGGTAGCCCGACGACCTTAACACCATTCGAGTAACTTTCAGTTGCTAAAATATCCTCCTTTTATTTAGAAAGATGATCATTAACGAAAATTCAGTTAATAAAATGTTTTAATAAAAGTGTAAACATGAAATACCCATTGCAGGTTGCTTTACAGCCTTCCTCAAATTCTTCATGACGCAAAACCTAAAAAATAGAAAATTTTATTAAATTTATATATCCTGCATGAATTTTTTTTAAAAAATGTGTTAATAATTATTACTTTCATTCCGAGAACTTTCGTATAAAACTTAATAGTCTCTTTTCTGTCACCTATTTTAAAAACAAAATGTAAGGCCCTTGCAGAGTTCATTTTTACAGGTAAAATTAATTAATATCTTAATAAATTATCCTAACAAATTTAGTAAGCGAGCGGTTCAGTACTTTAGGTTTATGTCGTTAAAAGAGCTTTTTTTTTTTTTTTTTTAGATTACTTCTTATTTGACCTGATATCTGTTTTAAATATTGAAATTCAAGTTTTCTTTGAAAAATGAAATCCAAATTGGACGGGAGCTGGTTTTGTTTATTTGTAGGCGTAGATTTGTAGAGTGCGACGAGCTCTGTTGTATATTGTTTTGAATCTGAAGTGTGATCTTCAGAGTCATTCTAACTGCATAAAAAATCACAAAAGCGATATCAAAGCTATCCGCTGGAATCTGATTAGCCAGTTTTTCAGAGGCGAATGTTTTTTTCTAATCAGGTTCTAAGTTACATTAGTGAAAGTTTCGCAAAGAGAACAATTCTGTAAAAATGTTTCTATCAGTTTAATTTGTGCTTTGAAAGCTTAAAGCTATCTTTTTTCTTTAAAGAGCTCAAAACTGACCAATGATGAGCTTGATGTTTGGCAAATTTCAAGTAATTTTAAGAACGTACATTTAAAAAAGAGCCGAGTACGTTTTTTATTGTGTTGCACAGCGTAGCAAACTTCGATATTAAAATTTTAAATATTTTTCCAGACAGGTAACATGGTTAAACGTAAAGCAAGAAAAGTTAAGAATGTGGATCCACTTACTCAAGCAAAGATTGAAAGCATTTCAATACTACTTAATGCATTCAAAGCTGAAGCTACTAATTTCGAAAATTATATGAACAGTATATGTGCTGAACGATGCTGTAAAATTGAGAAACTTTATATGGACCGTTTAAAGATGTATCCAGAAAACATTAGAAATATGACTATAGCTGAAGTGATGGAAATGCAACAGAAAGAAAAAGTTCGTGAAACTGAATGTCCGAGAAATGAAAATGCATTCCGTATGCAGCATGAAAGGTAATAAATATTTTTGAATATTAATTTATTTCTTTTCATTAGTAATATTCTTATTTTTATCGTCTCTGGAATATGTACTGCACATTTTTTATCTGATGACATTGTAGCGTAACTACCACTAAGAAAATTAAACATCAAATCACTGGTATATAAGACATGCTAACTTGATTCAATTACGAGGTTCCTTTTGATAGATGCATGTTGGCAAGGTCGATAACTCCGCCCCCACATTGATGACCCGGAGGTGATTTGAACATGCAGTAAAACCCACTTCGCAAAAATCTAGACATTAACGCCTACTTCGATGGATAGTCCACATTGAACAGTTGACTTGTGACTGCAAAATGCAACAACGAACGCTATGACGTGATGTTAATACACCTCTCACATTCAGCACTCAACAAAGCTCTCCCGGTCTTTCACAAGTACAGCAACTAGTGTTATCCATTCATCGAATTCTATCCCTCATAAAATTCTGGTGGGGGAGTATTATAGCGTAACTACCACTACGAAAATTAAACATCAATTCACTGGTATAAGAGATTTTAACTTGATTCAATCACGAGGTACCTTTTGATAGATGAAGGTTGGCATGGTCGATAACTCCGCCCCCACAACATGAAAAGTATTTATAAAATAAGTTTAATTTTGAATTACGTTACATTACCCACACAAATAAATTATTTGGGAAGATTTCAGTATTGTGATCTGTAACAGAATAATTGCCAAGTTTGGGCAGCGGCCCGTGAGAAACTAAAAAATACATCACAGAAAGGGTCTAACTGGAAAGATATAACTTGTAGCCACACCTGGGCAAACATCTACATGTGTTTTTTGTAAAATTTTTACAAGTTTTAAATCTATTTGGCATCTTGTAGTTGGTGTGAACAGATCACGATACAGAAATATCCAATTACTTTTCAATGAATTATGCCTACTGAATCTATGCATAATTACAAGGAACTGGGATGCTCTGGAATGTTTTCACGGGAGCTGGAGCTCTAAATTTTACCGTACTCTAGGGCTCTTTTATCTTCTTTTTTTTTTTGTCCATTTAATTTTTCAAAAAGGCTTAAGACATTTCAGGCATAAAATAACAAAAAGAAAGAATTTGGTGAGATTTCCATGTCGTGATCTGTGGCAGAATCACTCACAAAAAAAGTGACGTCAAAACGTATAACTCGTTGCCACCCCTAAGCAAACAGCGGCATTTTTTATTTTAATTTGCTAGTTTAAAATATATTTGGCAATTGTAATTGCAAGGGTCTATCTAAGTTTTTTTCAGAGGTACTATTTTGTGAAAATTTAGTCATAATTTGTGAAATTTGAAAATTACATTAAAAAGGCAGCACAAAAATATGGTAAAAGTATTTTGTGAGACTACCGCTTTTCTTAAAATTGAATGTGTAAAAGTACCGTTAAACGGCAGTAAATTTGAACGGGATAGACCCCTGAGTTGGTGCAACAGACAATACAGAAATATCCTTAAGGTGTTTTTGCTCTTAATTCTTGGAAGATAGTACAAATACAGTTAATTTGTTTGATTGTTATATTTTTTTAATTTTTGCTTTAAGTTGAGTTATGTAGTAATAATATCTTATAATTTTGACAATTTCTAAAATTCATTTCAGTCATTTAAATACTTCATTATTTTTTATAATAAAATTTGAAAATTAAAATCTGAAACTCAAAGGTGCATGTAAATATATAGTAGAATTGTGCGAACTTTTGCAAAGCTGGAGCACATCAAAAAAAAAATTTTTGTCTTTGTGTCCGTGCATGTTCGGTTTGAGAAGTATTAATACCGGCCAATATATCATACCTAAATAAATTTAATATAACCTTTTACCATAATAACTAGTTTTACAATTTTTATACTATAATTTTTACTATATTTATTTCAGAACGAAATTGACATCTGAGAGAAAAAGAACTCAAAGGAAAGAGGTAACTATTTTTACTGTCTAATATTTTACTTTTATTTGTTTTCGGGTGTCTAGGAGATATTTCTGTATCGTGATCTGTCCCATTGTCCACAATTGCCAAGATGTCAAATAAATTTTATTTTAAGCTTACAAGTTCTTATTTTAAAATTAAAAGAAAAAAACTTGTTAATATTTGTCTGGGGGTGACTACAAGTTATACTTTTTGAGTTGGCGATTAATCTGGCACAGATCATGATTCGGAAATCTCCCCATTTTTTAAATATTAAATTTTCTATTTAATCTCACTGACATAGTGTAAAATCCTTAAATTCTAATTTTTAAAGATTTAATAACTGTTTTTTTTGTCAACGAGCCCTTTAGGAGCAGTACTTTTTTTGGTAGAACCTAAAATTCAACTATTACAGGGTTGCCACAGGTGACTAAAATGCAACTATTTTTGGCATGAGGCGACTATGGCAACTTTTTTTGCCTGAAAAGGCTAAAAAAAAAAAGCAACTATTTTCAAGAATAGTAGACCTTTGGGAGACTTTTCTGTACTCCTAGCGATGTTTTTTTTTTTTTTTNTTTTTTTTTAAGCATAAATTGGGTAGAAAGTCTACACCCTACAAGATAGTTTCTGAACGCTCAAAACTTTTTTTTTTTCCTTAAAAAATAAAAAAAATTTAGCACATTTGAATTCACTTTTTAAATCATTCAATCTGCACTGACTCCATTGTAAGTTTATTTCATTTCTCGATCGCCTTTTTAATGATTAATTTATACGATATTACGGTGCCTGAATTTCGAATTTGAGTAATCACTTTTTAAACATAGACAGTACAGAACCCATTATCCGAAAATCAGAAAACCGGAACGAAATTCGATAAATTTTCCCGCAGTTTTTAAAAAAAAAAAAAATTTCCTCATAAGGGCCATTCTCCTGTTATGCACGGGACATTTGCAGACCAGTGAAGTATATAAAAATAATAAAATAATGAAGTTATTAATTTTTTTTTTACAATTCAAATCAAAACAAGACTGTTTCTTAAATATTGTATTGAAAAGAAATCAAAAATTAAAGTTTAAATACTTGAAAAGACATTTAATATAGTCGTTATGCACGGGACTCAGAAAAAAGATAAATTTCTACCTTGACTTTTATTATTCATAAACTCTGTGAATTTAGAACTTGTGTATTGTCATTATATTTTTTTCTTAACTAATAAATATTACTTCTATTCAATTATGCTACATGTTTTCCAAATACATTATTTGATAAGATTATAAATTTATTTTATCTGTGTTATGCACGGGACATGCCTAATGTTATGCACGGGATATGTCTGTAATTCACTACACCCGAAAGTATACACTTGATTTAATTATGTATATTTTGAAGTGGCAACACTAATTCATTCACAGGAAAGTGGCAACACTTATTTATAGTTTTGTGATCTGGATTAGAAGCTTTATAAATCATTATAAAGGATAATTGAGCATTATTTTTCTTTTATTCCAAGCAAAAGTAAGTTAATATTTTTTACTGTTTATTTCTATTTTAAGTTTATTTGCAATAAAGTTTATATGTATAAAGTTTAAGTTTATATGCATATTTACATTAAATTTGTTAAGCCTAATTTTAGAACATTTTTATTAAAGAACATTTGATTGTTTAGAAGCTAGAACATTTGAATTNTACATCAAAGGATGATAAAAAAGACATCTATTTAAAAAAAATGTTTTTAAACATAAATATATTAGTTTAAATTGAAAATAGAAAATAACTGAAAAATGTATTAACAGTTTTGAAGGGCATAACATCAGTTTCAGTTACTGACACTGGTGATGTATCACCACTATGCTAAAAGAATTGAACATGAATGAAATAAAAGTAGGTATTCTTGAATAGTACTATAGATAAATAAACCTGTTTATGACGAACCAAACACTTAGTCCCTAATATTTTAAACTGAATGGCAAGGCCAAACTTTTGTTATGTACTATTGAATGAGAGGACCAATTGAACTTGATTACTGATTAATCTTCCTTTGTTTAAATTGAAGAGTCAAACAATATTAATAAAACATTATACTTTTAAAAACAAATATTCTCTGGTATATTTAATTGTCAATATGTTATTAGTTCTATGTTTATTTTACCTCTTAAATATTGTTCAGATAAATTTGAGTAAAAGGGTTTTGGACAGGACGGTTTAAACCGGGGATTAATCCATTCTGTCCTAAACCTTGCCAACCCTGACTGAAAGCAACTATTTTGTTTATTTTTTTCTGTGGCAAACATGCTATTATCACTTTTAGATAAAAAGTTTGAAGGTATTTTATCATAAGTTTGATAAGTTCAGTAGTTTTCAAATTCAAAAATTTTAAAAAATCTGGTATGCAATAGAAGCCGTATTAGCTGCTATATAAATGCTGTTATATTTGATGGAATTATGAAAAATTATTGGTTTGAGAGAAAGCAGTTTTCAAAACTTCTTATTTTTAATGACTGGCACTTGGGGTTTCTCTCATTGGCCACAGGAATGGCAGGACTACTACTCTCTTCTCGTTACCCAGTGGGCGTCGCCCACGTCACACAACCACAAACCCGTTTACAGGGCGGATCACATTCACACAAAGGAGAAAGGACATAGAACACAGAGAGAGAAAGAAACACCCATGCCCTGAGCAGGATTCGAACCCGCGGCCAATGGCTCTGTAGTCAGACACTCTAACCACTCGGCCACCTGGTCGGTATTTTCAACTTAATCCGTTTATGCAAACAGTGCCATATCTTTCCAATACTTATCTGTCCCAACTCATTCTTTTACAAAAGTCTCAAATATGCCCTAAGTCAAGAAACTAGAAAGAAAAAAAAACAACATTTTTTTACTATTTTTAAAAATTTAGTAATTCTTTTCTTTGTTTTAGATGAAGTAATAAAATTTCCTTCCTCCTGCACAAATGTTGTTTTCTAAACTTAATTTTTTTTTTAAAGCTTAAGGGTCTGTTTACAGGGGAGGGGGGAGGGAGGAATTCCCTAAACAAATTTGTATGACCTTTTTTTTCCTCAGAATCTTGTTCTTTTTTTAACTAATGCTTCAATATTTATAGAGATAATTCAATTAATATAAATGTTATTGAATCTATGTTATGTTATAAGCCTACCAATATAACAGTTACATACATGTGATTGGTTAAATACAAAAAAGCTATATTTTTTGTGGACTATTAACAACTTTCTGTAACTATACTGAGCATTTTGGGTAATTTATTGTTAACCATTTTTGGGTAGCAGGACGTAAAATCTGCAAATATTTTGTTGTGATACATTAACATGATATTCAAATTAAATAAATGCTGGGATATTTCAATTCTATTTGAAAGTGTTTGAATGATGTGCAAATTTATTAACCATTTACTTTGGTACTGTTAATAAAAATAATTTAGATGAATTTATTAAATTACGAATCTTATTATGGTAATTATGTTGGAATATGGAGGGAAGAGACACTTAAATTTACACTTCTCTATTATTCAGAAAACAGATTTTGTTCCTGAAGCCAGAGCATGACAAAAGTACAGAGCTTGACAAAAAAAGATAATTCTTTTTTTCCATTTATTTTTTTTGTTAATATTTAAGACAGTTCAGTAGCTAATATCATTGTTGTATGCTAGAAAGTATTTATTCATAAAATATTTCTCGGTTGAAAGAATTAGGAAACTTTAAATTTTAATATTTTCAGTGATGGAACTATGGTTGTTGAAGATTGTAATGCCTTTTAGCTCGCCAACTTACTACTTCTTCCATATGCTCAGCTTTAAGAAATGCTATGGAAAAAAATTTAAATAAAAAATTGAATTTCATTTTCATTTCTTAGTATTCACTTGATTAAAAAAAAAAGTAAAATTATAATAATTAGCAAATTTAAATTTGGACAGTATTTGTCATAAGTAATTGCATTTTTCAACGATTGTTGAATCCCATTTAATTCTCTTGTTTTGTATTTTACTGCTCGGGGTCTGTCTAGGCTTTTTTAAAAGGTACCTATTTTGTGAAAATTAAAAAATCAACATAGCATGTACACAATATCATTTTAATTAGTATTTTACCAAGTACTCAGGACACTTAGCATATTGAGTATACTGAGATAAAATAACAGATTTTTAATATTAACATACTGAGACAAGTTTTGATGCTGTACTCGGTTAATACTGAGTTGTTGTGAAAATGAAATATTTCTAAGTATGAATTAAGACAAAGATTTGTTTAGCGATGAAAAAAAGAAATATATATTCAATCATAAATTTATAGTCTGCTAACTCATAAAAAAAAATTGTACTACAAAGTTTTAAAAGGCATGGAGGAAAATATTAAAATTTGCTTTTTTAGGAAAAGTATTTAGTGAAAGTACTATTTTTCTTATAGTTGAATTTGCGAAAATACAGTTTGATCAAACAGTGAATTTGTTAAGGTACCGCTGAACTAGGGTTGGCAAGATTTTGACAGGTTTTTACCATCATGTCAAAAACCCATAGTTTTGGTAAAATAATTTTGAGTATTTGCTAATATAATTTATAAGTGTTTGGTAAAATAATCTCAAATTTTGGACTCATCCATACTTAACTCAAAAATCGACTGGGGAATGAAAAATGTGCAAAATTAATGCTATTGTATGCTTCGGCACAGTGACCCCGACTACTGAACATGTAATTTTGTTTGTAACTAATTTTTGTTTAATGTGCTTTTTCAACTGAATAAAAGTTTTTAACTTGACAAAATAGCAGTAATTCTTGACTTAGAGTTTGTTAGTAGTGACAAGTTTTGAAAGTTTTGTTTAGCTTATTTCTAATATTTAAGAAATGCCAAATTTTAAATTCTTCTTTTTACTTCTTGAATTTATTAATAGTTCCAAGCTTTGCAAATCAAGCTATAATGATAAAAGTAAGAATCACTATTTTCAATAAGTATAAAATAATATTTCTGTATGAATGTATATCCTTCTATAAGAGTACATGTATATAGTTGCAAAATCAATAGCAATCATTTACAACAGTGTTTCCCAAAGTTTGGTACGCGAACCCCCAGGGGTACGGGAACAGTTTAGCGCGTTCTTATGCGAAATATCTTACAGCAAACAAAAAGTTTATTTAAAAACGAAGCCAACCATGAAAATTTACGATTACACATTTTTCTATTGGCCATTTTTTGCAGAGTTAACAGTTAATAATTAGTGGTGTCAACAGCAGTTGTAATTTTTGACTTTTGTGCAATTTTTTTGTAGTAAAAAAATACATTCATTTTTTAATTAGTGGTACATAGCGTTACGAAAAATTTAGAAAGGATACACAAAAGTCATAAGTTTGGGAAACACTGATTTACAACATTCATTTATAAAGGCAATTATGTGAAAATAATATATTGTCCTCTATATGCCATAAATGAAAGAAAACAGTAGGTTTTTACCGGTAAAAACACTGTTTTTACCACTGTCGTGTCAAAAACCAGTTTTTGACTGCAAAAACCCAGCCCTGCGTTGAACGGTAGTAAATTTGCCCTGGACAGACCTCTGCTACTATATGTTCTTTATACATTTTAAGAGTTTTGAGTGAGTGCATGCATTTTTTTTAAGATATTACTAATAAAATTGTGTTTTATTCATTTTACCAATAGAAAAAAAGAAGCATTAGTGTTCCAGTTTCTGCAAGGAATAATCCTAATATGTCCCATTTAACTCGAACTGGAAGTGAGTTATCATTATTGACACCTGCAAAACAGAGGAGACCAAGCACAATTATAACTCCAAAATTTGATCCAAAGTATGTTAATTATTCTGGAACTGATACTCTGTTAATAAGGATGAATTGTTTAATTCTGCAGTTTTTTTTTCCTTCCAAGGCTAATACTAATCTTTACACCTTTAAGACCTAGCCACTGCAGCTTTTCACTATTTGATCTGACAATATTAAATAATATCAAATTTTAGTCAATAATATACAAATGCTCAAAACTGGCACATTCAGCAAATTATTTCTTTGGGAACAATTACTTTAAGTTGGCAAAATGTAATTCTTAAACTCTGTTTAAATTGTACAGTAATGAAATATTTTTTTATTTTAATGGCGGGCACTTGTCCCATTGGCTAGGATTGCCAGAGTGCTGCTCCACCGCCGTGGCTTCGCCACAAGTGCCCACTGGGTAACGAGAAGAGAGCAGCAGTTCTGGCCAATGGGACAATACATCCCAAGTGCCCGCCATTAAAAAAAATCTTTTATTATTTTAATTTTACACTCATTTACATATACATATTTTATTAAACTTATTTGCTTTTACTGTGACGGTTTCATTGTTTTTTCAGCTGTTATTGCTAGTGCTACCAATTTTCTTGGGGTTTTTAAAAATCTGTTATTTATCTGTTAATATTTTTTCTACCCCAAAATTATCCGGGGTAATTCCTGATCAATAAGCATCAACATTCAATTATTACAAAATCTATCTAAGCTAGAGTTATTAATTTTGGCATGCAGGAAGCACATTGTGATGTTCATCTAGTAAAATATTTTATCAATAATGCTATTTGAATAAGTATTTATCAATGTATATAATAAGTATTTATAATGCTATTTATCAATGAAATTATTTGAATAATTTAAGTTAATTAGTAACCAGGATTAACCCCAGGGATGGGATAATTCCTGGTCACTTTTGGGTTAATTATTGGTCACTCACATATTTAATGTAAATACATACATTTTTTATGTATATTATTAATACAATTTATTAAATTGATTATCAATTGCTAGTTAAACATTATACTTAGTTATTTCAGGTTTAAATACAATTTATTCAACATAAGAAATGCATACATTCAACACTCCTTAACCAGAATATTTTTTTTACAATTTGTATACAATATTTATAGCTTCTATATCTGCTGTGAATTGATCTACACCTTTTAAATCAATAGGTCAATAAAGGATATAGGGAATTTCAATTGTCACTATTCTATCTCGTTTACTATCCTCCACTTTTATGACTTTTCCAACATAGAACAGATCTTTATCATTATATACAGTATAGTATCTATGCTCTTCTATTGAATTATGTATGGTTTCAATTAAATTTTTTGCATTTTGCAATCATGATGTATTTTTATTAAACTGTTCAGTCACTGTTAACATATCTAATGGTTTATGCAGTTAAAGCTATCTGCAAAGATAAGTTAATTTAATAAATCAAGACTCAAAGTGTTATATTGAAATCAATGAAATATGGCAATAATAGACAAAATAACAATGCATAAATGATAAGAACTGTATTGGCCTAGAATTACTCCAGGAACATGGGGTCATACTTCGTACACTCCTGTAATTTATTTAACACAATAATAGTAAATCCGAAACTATTTTTCCAGTAACTGAAGAAGTAGTTCACAACGCAACCAAAAAGAGAAAAACATTTAAAACTTTAGTTGTGACTAAGATCTTTCTAAAAATGTATCATAACTAAGGCAATGTTTTAGGTTAAGGCCAATTGCTTAACTAAGGCCAACAGAAATTGAACAACCCATTTAAAAACTCTTTTTTTTTTTAACTCTAAAACTTTTTTTTTTTTGTGTGTTCTTAAAACATAAAAAGGTCTGTGACTCTGAATTACCACAGAAACTTGCTGGCCAGGAATTAACCATGGTGAATCTAGACCGTAAAATTTGAATCAACCATTTAAATAGTCACTTTTTGACATGCTCAATTTACGCTGATAGTATTTTAAATCCGCAGTGTTTGGATTCTATTCTTGGCAGTTGGTATTGATTTTCACGTGGTTTTTAAATGTCTCTGTATATTTCAGATATCAGAAATTCGAATCAAACATTTGAGTGTTTGCTTCTTTACCTAATAATTATATCAATTTTTTTTTAAAGCAGTTATAGCTATTGCTTTCCACTAAGTTTTTAAAATCTGATATTTTTAATATAATATTATTTATTATAACAACCAAATCTCGAAGCAAAACACACATTTGAGTGAGTCCATCATTGATCTGTTCACAATTTCGGTAGTAACTGCTACGGATTTCGCCCCATTTTTATTTATTTTTTTTTTAATGTTTTGGTGATTCACCAAATGCTAAAAGGAGATAATTAGTGTATTTTTCTCCCAATAACATGCGAGCATGGTACTCATTTAAACATAACAGAATTACGTATTCAATTAAAAAAAATATACTTTTTTTTTCTTCTTTTAAACTCTTCTTTTGTTACTTTAAAGTACTAGTAACATATATATTTGTTATTATTAAAAATATCTTGCAGAAAGACATTAGTGCTAGAGAGTTTTTTCACAGAAAGCCCGAAAAAATTCTTCCACGGGAGAATGTTCTACTTGCTTTAATACATATAAATATGCTGAAATACATAAAATAATAATAAATGCTTTAATATATATAATTATGTTGAAATAAAACCTAAATTAATACAGTAAATAAAAAGGAGCAGCAAGGTAGAATTTACAGCATTGAAAGCTTGATATTAAGGGTATAGCATATGACAAGAAATCTGTTAGTATGACAGCTTTCTTAGTTACTGTCATAATTGTATTATTAAAGTTACAAAAATGCTATGTTTATAATGAAATAAAAATGACATTTTTCTTGCTATTGTGACCAAGCAATATTTTTTGAAGGAAATAATGTTTTCTGTTGCAGTCTCCAATATAATTCATAGAAAGGCAAAATAGAAGTCATTATTTATTGCAGATTATTTATACAGAAAAGGGAAAAACAAATATATCACCAAAATGATTGTCAAACATTTTGAATGAATATTTTTTCCCCCTCAGATTTTCATTAATTTAAGAATTATGTATTAGTCACAGTGAGTTTTTATGAATATTCTGGAAGTCTCGTGAAAAACTTCCAAAAATAATTAAAAAAGAGAACATGAATGATAAAAAGTCTCAAATTTAAAATCTGAAACAATAAATCCAGATCTTATTTCGAGCATGTTCTCTCAATTTTTGTTCAATTTACTATTTTAATTTCTTACTCACATACAAACGACAATACGCTAAGTATTTTTATTTTTGCATACATTCTGCAGATAACAAATTAGTGTGAGTTTAGGTTTTTGCTTAATATTTTGCTCGATTGCTATTATATTTTTTGAGAAATATTTAAAATTTTTACATTATAATTGACTGTTATATATTTTTATCTGAAGGCGTCCTGTTTTTGGAGCAAGAAAACCAAAGCCTGGTGAAGTTGTGATGTCTCTATCTGGTAGTCCTCTTCAAATTGTTATGAATGATTTGCCTTCTGACAAACCTGCAATCACACTATCTTTTGGAGAAGGAAAGGTAAATCATTATTTTTAAGTATCTCCTTTTTTTTAAAAAAAAAAAAAAAATTTCCTTATATATATCTCTACCCGTATATTCTCAAATTTCTCCATATTTGTTAAAGAAATTTAAATATTTTTTTTTTTTCAAAAAACATGATAAAATATCTGCTGATGGCAAAAGTACTTCTCTTATTCCTCAACAGATGGTACTATGGCCAGCACTGCAGTATGTAGAGTGTTTATAGTATAAGTAAATATAAGTAATGGTTTGAAAAATATTCTTTAGATTAAGATTTATATACATATACAGTAGGGAACCGATTATCCAGAACAGTCGGGACCATCGCTATTCCGGATAACTGATATTTCCGGTTTTCCGAATCGCTGCAGAAAGCAGTTTTTTTTTATTGTTAAACCCAACTAAAAAAGGAAATATTTGGAAATAATCTTAAAAATAAGAAAAAACGATGAAGTAATACACTAATGATTATTTCCAAAATGATGGTAAGGTAAACATCTTTTAAAAAAAAGAAGGAAAAATCATAAATTTTATGAGGGAAAAAAAAAAAATTTTTTTTAAATGGAGAGAAATTTTTTCGACTTTCGTTCCGGTTTTCTGATTTCTGGATAACGGGTTCTGTACTGTATTTTACTTTGATAAATGTAATTGCTTTTATTATTTCCAGTTTTGAGTTTCTCTTTTTTTACTTACATGATTATGCATGATATATCAAAACTTTACTCGTAGCCTAAAAAATATCGCTAGTAAAATCTGTTATTTTATTTCTCCAATGTTCGCAGGTATGAATACATTACAAATGCATAATAATAAATTTGAAATTTTGCTCCGAAATGATGTACTTCAGTACTTCATCTTTCTAGTTGTTATATTAGGATGAAGTTAGGACTATCTAATGTCATTAAGGTGAGAACGCTTAACTTGAACTTCTTTAAAGGTTACCTAATTTTCCATTCCCGTCAAATTGTATGCGGATATAGTGAATCGAATAAATATATCCGTATACAATTATGAACATCATTAACGTTAATTTTAATGTTTACTCTAATAACGTTAACTCTAATTTCATTGCCCTTGGAAAAATATTTTATTTTAACATGAACAGAAAGTTTATTTTTTCTCTGACAGGTAAGAAAACTGATCATTTACAGTTCTATATCTATAAAAATAGGTATTTCTGAATGCTTTGTTTATAGTGTTATTTTTAGCATAACAGTCAAACGAATGAGTTGTATGAATTGAACCTGTTGATAGGAAGGGGGCATTATAAGAAACAAGATAGGTCCTTTTGTACTCTAATATGAATAGTCTTCATTCTGAATGGAGATGACTCATGGGTGTGAATATAAATAGTGTGGAACTGGGTGTTAGGGGCCCAAGGAGGACACTTGAAAATATGTCGATTTTTTGGAAATGTTAATAAAGTGTAATTGATTTGGCTTTGTAACTTGATTTGCAAAAGTTATAGGAAATTTAAAACATTCTTAAATGAGTTAAATATTTTATATTTAATTTTAAAGCCCTTACTTTTTAGTCAACTTATTTGTTTTACGATTTATTGTAAAAAAAATTTTTGTAGTTTTATTAAACCTTAATTTAATTAGTATAAAATATATAAATAGAATCTAGTTTGTTCTGTTTCCAAAAAAAAAAAAAAAAATTTTTTTTCAACCCTAGACTGTTGAAACAGTTTAAAAGGACATTTAGCGTAGTGTAACCTAAATTATTTCTTAACCTGTTTTGTTTTTTATCAGTCAATATTTAAATTCCCTGAACAAAAATGTTTGTCATAAATCTTCCCCTTAGAGATGCATTTCAACTTTTAAGAACTGAATAGTTGAAAACAATTTTTTGTGAGTAAAATATAGACAATAATAAATGAATGAAAAATAAAACCAATGATCTTTCAAATCATCAAAAAAATATTGAAATGCATGCATTGTTATAAAATATTAGCATTTATGTATCTACTTTTCATTACATTACCAATTTGAAGTCTGCTGAAATCAGTTGATTTAGTTCATTTTGAATTCGCAATTTATTACGATTAAAAATTACTATTACGAATGCGTGTTAAATATGCTACTTTTTTGTGACAAAACATTTTTAATTTTGTATATGATTTGAATCATCTGTTTTATTTTTAGGACAGGATTATTATTGAATGTGCATCATAAGGGAGTAAAAACTCAAAACAATTGAATTAATAAAAACATTTCAATCTTTATTTCATAACTTTTCATTCCCTCATTGAGACAAAACCAAGTTGTGTATTTGATACAAAAATTTTCAGGTTGTTGTAACTTGATACTGAAAAAATTTATACTTACCCATTTCTAATAGATATTCTTTCTAACGTTTTGAAAACAATTTTAACAGTGATTTCAGAAAATTTAAGATGTTTTAATATTTGTTTTTAACATTTTGGAAAAAGGGGAAAGCTGAAAATAACTTAACTAAAATTGTCTTGAAACCAACATTGCTTATTTTGTTAAATATGATTGCAAATTATACTAATGAAAACTGTTTGTGTTTTTTCAGTTTCTAAATCTTGGCAATGCTGCTAAAATTGACTCGGATAAAGAATTTCTAAAATCTATTGATGAGACCACAAAGAATGCTATTCAAAATGCTATGCAAAAATTGGATCAGATTTTGAAAAACAGTGAAGCTTAATGTTTTATTTATTCATATCCTTGTCCAGTGTTTTATGAAAATGTTTCTTATGTCTTAAGATTTTTATTATGATGTTTCTTATGTCTTTAAATAAAATGTCTATTTTAATCTTTAGTTCATTGTTTTATATTTTGTAAGCCTACTTTTTTTTAGTGTTTTCAAATATAAGTTTAAAAAAATTTCAGTGAAATAAAAAAGAAATTCAGTTTTAAAAATATGAAATGAGGAATTTTAGTTATTATAAATCAACAAATTCAGTAATATTAGACTTGCGCGTATCATGAACACTGCTGTGCAAAAGAAAAATCAAAGTGTGAAGAAAATTCATAATTTATATTTTTATTTATTAGACATTATTACATAAGATATATATTGCAAGAATTTTTTTTTCTTTTCAAAAATATCTTTAAAACAATTTTTTTAACTTCTATTTTAGTATTCTACTACTAGTTACTATTACTATTTTTAGCTGAAGATAAGATTTTTCGCATTTTCACCTGCCTGCCAGATAGCTGGTCTTTGCGTGATTCAGACGTCGCTTCTTCAGACAAGCCTTTTAGGTGTCCCAATCCCAGAATCTGCTAATATCTCTGTTCTTATTCAAACATAACTTTTCAAACATATCATTATTCATCTTATAACTTTTCAAACATATATTCATCTTATTCAAACATAAACCAAAATCAAACATAACTTTTCGTATTTACATGATTTAAAAGTTGCCCGATGCGATTCTTATTCACGTGATTTAGAAAACGTACATTGTGTTTCTTATTTACGCGATTTGTATTTACGTGTTTTTAAAAACCTATGTAGTGATTCATATTCACCCGAGTTTAAAATCCAATTTGTTCATACGGTTATAATATCAAACATCGATTTTCGTTATCACGCAATGTAAAGAAATGAGGCATTGGGATTCGTATTCACACGATCTAAAAATTATGCATCATGATTCGTATTTACACGACTTAAAAATTCTATATTGCAGTTGGCATTTTCTCATTTTTAAAATCGAATATCGAGTTTCATATTCGCGCGATTTCAAAATCCAAGATCGCTATTTGTATTCACACAATTTTTGTGAGAAAAAAGTTTTTTTCTTGAATTAGTTACTGTAAAGTTGACTGTTTTTCGATCGACGATTATTAGTATGTCAACACATAGTTATTTATTATATTAAATTGTCTGAAATTTATTATTAAACAATTGCACACTCGTAAAATTTACTCGCGAGGGAATTCAGCTTTTCTCCCTTTTGGCCAATCTCATCCCTGAGTAATGGAGTAGAAAGATATCAATATAATATATTGGTATAAAAATTGATATTGATATGATAAACTGAGATCAATCTTAGGAAATGATCTAAAAAAATTTGCACATTTAAAGTACATTAACCACTATAATTTATTCATTTTTAACTAGGATGAAAATGTTAAGAGATTTGCCTTAATAGTTTGCAATTTCAGATAGTAATGAATTTTATTAAACCTAGTTTTTTTTACAATGTGTTGAAAAAATGGTTTAATGATAGCGTTAAATTAAACATCTTACACATTTAATGAGAATTTTGATTTTAAAATGCATTGAAGTTCTTCACAAAGAAATTGATGTTGCTCAAATAATAAATTGAGATAGATCGGGGGAAATAAACCTACGAAAGTAGCTCATACATTTAAAGTCCTTTTCTTTAATATTATTATTTAAAATTAAGTTTTTATTGGTATGTAAATTTTAATGAAACTACTTCAATAGTTTACAATTTCAGAAATTAATGAAGTTCATAAAAACAAGTTTTATTTTATGATTATGCGAGGCAAAACAAGCAAATTTTTATAGCATCACTAAATTAGACATATAAATGTATAATAACAACAAAAAAAAACATGGATCCAAAATAAATAAAAATTTTCACAAAAAATCTCTACTTTTACACAAATAATAATAAATTTTTGTGTAACTTTGTCAGTTCCAGCGGAAGATTTTGTCAAACCCTGGTCGATACTCAATTTGGAAAAAGAAATATTTTTTTTTAAAAAAAATTATCTTGCTGGTGTAGTCGTAACGCTGCAGATACAGGGTGCGTAGCGTTGTTGAAAGGTGCTTATTTTTTATTTACGTTTTTAAAAGCCCTTAAAGGTGCTTTTTTTATTCGGCATTTGTAAAAAGTGCTTAATTTTCTATCTATTAAAATGAGATTTTTTCTTTGCCGTATCGATTGTTGTTCTAAATTACAAAAAATGCATTATTTTCTCTGCAATATTTATCAGAAACTAGTTATATCATCGTGATTATGTCAAGTTTTTGGAAATGTTATTGAAATTTATTGACTTTATGTTTTTAAATTAAGTACTTTAAACAATAGAAAAAATAATTTTTATTACTGCACAGATCCTAATTCTGATTTTTTTTGGAAGGTGATTAAAGATATTTTTTGAGTGCTTGAAAAGTACTTAAAAGGTGCTTAACAGGATGTTCAGGATAAGATCATGTACAACGTGCGACGAATATCATGTGCTACACTGCGTCCTATAAAAACAAATTTGTTTCATGTTAAAAGGAAGCATGAAACATTAAAAAGTGTTTCATAAAATAAAATTGTATCTCACTTTAGTTCTACATATTTCAATCAGTGGCGTACACAAGGGAGGGGTTTAAACTCCCCCCTTGAGCTCAGACAAAATGGCAAAAATAAAAATTTTAGTAGAAATTATGCGGGCTATTATTTTTTAAGACTATATATTTTTATTTGCCTTATGTCTGCTTTTTTTCTCACGGTATTTCTCAGAATACTGAAAAAACATTTACTATAATAGGGTTGAACTTTTGAAACCAAATTCACGTGATACTGTTACGGACTGGTTCCTTTCTGACCTGCCAGTGTAGTTTTCGAGACTGGCTGTCATTCGCGAGGTCTTTACGCTATGATTCTGGAATCCTAGACGTTCTGTCGTCTTTGAGACAATTCGAGAATTTTGGAGATGCGGTGAAAAATTATATAAAAGGCGGAACGGTGTAGAGTGGAGTTAGTTTGTCAGACTAAGAGTTATCTCTGCCGCTTTTCTTTCGGAGCTTGTAGCTAAATCTGTTTTGTTTTGTCTTAACAAAAAGTTCATTCAATCGCCGAACCCTGGCGATTCCATTACGGGCGATCGGTATAGGCTACAATTGATTCGTTTGAGCCGTGCATTACGAGAAAAACGGCCGGAATACGAGCAAAGACATGACAAAGTTATTCTTCTGGATGATAGCGGCCGGCCTCTTGTCCCAAAAGTCGTAAAAAATTATTTTGAAGCGCTCAAGTGGGATATTTTACAGCACCCGCCGTATTCGCCGGACATTGCTCCTTCTGATTACTGATTGTTACGACGGATGCAGCACGATTTGGCAGGTCACCGGTTCACTTCCTTCGCAGAAATCCTAACTTGGATCGCCTCAAAAGACGAGACACTTTTTCGAGATGGAATTCGAAAATTTCCTGAAACCTGAGAGGTGGGACAAAGTAGTAGCCAGCGATGGACAATACTTTGATTAATCTGTTCGTTCATTTTGTTCTGAAATAAATGCATTTTTGACTACAAAAAAAAACGTACCGAACTAATTTGTACTCCCAATAATTTAAAAGCATCCAATTTCGGAAATCAGTATAATTCAGTATTTTACTCATATTTTACAGAAAAAGGGAACCAAATATTTGGGGAAATTGTGTAATGCTTTCCCAAAATTCAGAAAAATTTTATTTAAAAAGAGGCGTCCAAATATGTTTATAAACAAAGATATAAACGCATAAATGGAATCGTTTCAGATTTATGGATCTACATCTTCAGCAGTAACTCTGTTAGAAATGTTTTGTAATTCATTCTAAATCATTGAGTCAAAAAAACTGAAGGTATGTTTCTACGAAAAAGATAATGTTTTTGCGTTTTAAATTGTGTATTGAATTATCCTTTGCATCTGCTCTTAAATTGCGTACCTTAAAAGTGCTCTTTAAAGTATGAAAAACGATCCTTATCAAGCTTAGTTATATGTGTCTAGTCCTACTGATTTTTACTAATGAAATATAGCATTGTTATTACTACAAGGATGTATTAATGAACACTGAAATTTTTTGAATAAGCTATCTTATTAAATTTGCAAGATAAAAAGTGAAAATCCTTGTTACATATATGAAAAATCTTTTAGTATATATGTATCTGGAAATTAAGTTTTTTTGTTTTATCTTTTCGTTTTAATCTAGCCATGCATTTTGATTATAAATTCCAAATATCACAGTGTTGCTTTAAATTAGCAAGCAACATAATTTATACCAAGAGATTTTCGATTTTAATTGCTGAGAATAGATAAGAGGATCAAAGTTCTTGATTTCACAGTCGTAAGAAAATCTAGGTACACCACAACTAATAGCTAATTTTTTTCCCCCGATATTACCCAAACTGTCCCCTGGAAAATATCCCTGATGCCATTATGCAGCTCTGATGCGGCACAAATAAAGTACTTATTTTTCAGAAGAAATTAAGCAGTGCGTATCTTTGAACTGAGCATTTTTCTGATACTAACTCACAATAAGTCTGTCTTAATAGCATGCAGGGCCCCCGGGCACAAAAAAATATTTTAAACCCCTGTAACATGCCATAATGTTTAAAAGACGAACTAAAAAGCTTCACATACATAAAATAAATAATTTTTAAGATATGATACAATAATTGTAATGAAAAATTCTAACATATTTAGATGATTTCAAAAACTCAAATAAAGCATTTTTAAACTATACATAATTTTTAAAAAAAAATTGAGATGCTAATCAACTAATAAATAACTTTTCAAAATCACGGAAGTTATTTAAAATAATCAAATTAAAAAGTTAAATTCTCAACGGCCCTCTGAGTGAGAGTGCCTGGGGTTCCTGGGCACTGCCTGGGTGTGCCCATGCGTATAGACGTATAGCCACAACCCGAGTGCAGAAATGGCCCCTCGCTTCTCGGAACTATTTTGGCATGAGTGATTTCTATTGTATAATATGTCGTGTGATACAAGTAACAAAATTCATAACTAAAATTTTCTTATTTAAAATGCAGTATAAGATGTTGAGCACATCTTTTC